CGTTCCTGTTGTCCAGCCTGAACAAGTCTCTTGTCCACAGGACCAGATGGGCCGAGATTCTTCTGACTCCCTCCAGGAGGACTCAGATACAGAGGCTTCTGAAGTTCACACTTCTCCCGACCATAAGTCTCCAAACCCAGATATTTCTGAGGACTTACCTATATCTCCTTCAGATAACCTGACATCTTATACAGATCTGATTAAAAGAATGGCTCATTCCCTGAGTCTCTCTGTTGTCCAGCAACAGCATCAGACGTCAGACACAGTCTACGATATCGTTCAGCTCGATGTCTCTTCCACCCTGGCATTACCTATGTCTTCAGTTCTCACCCAGGCAGCAAAGTCGCCATGATTGAAACCCTCTTCAGCTCCTGTGTCCACAAAAAAGTTGGACCACATGTATAGGGTACAGGACACGGAAGCAGAATTTCTCCTTTCTCATCCTCAACCTAACTCCATGGTCATTACATCATCCTCAAAATCCAGGAAGACGCATTCCACCCCTACAGATAAGGAGGGAAAGAAATTAGACTCCTTCGGCAGACGGTTTTATTCCACTAGAGCATTGGCAGTCAAGGCCACCAACTACCTGGCCTGCATGAATTGATACCAGTACACTCTTTGGGAACGACTCTCAGAACACCTGGGTCATCTTCCAGATGATAAACAAGAAGCTGCCAGACTCATACAAAGAGAGGGCATGGTGTTGGCGAAACAACAACTCAACACCACCAAACACGTCCTCGAGGCATCGTCAAGATAAATGTCTTCTGCAGTAGCTCTCAGGAGACATTCCTGGCTTAGAAGTACTAACCTTCCAATAGACACCAGATCCTACGTGGAGGACCTACCCTTTGATGGCCTTGGGTTGTTTCATGCCACAACCGATAATGCTCTTCAAGAGCTAGACAAAAGAATTAAAGCATCCAGGGCTCTAGGAGTTTCATCCTCTGGAAAACAACCGTATTGCCACCGTACTTGGTCAAGATCTTGGCAGAGACGTACACATCCTACACATCAGTCTCCTGACACATGTTGGAGACCAAGATCATCTTCCAGAGGCCAGAAACCCGCCTTCCAAAAACCGAAATTCGGTTCAGGCCAACAGGCTTCACGCAAACAGTCAAAACCACCCAAACAGAGTTTTTTACTTCCCTGTCACCGAGTCAGCAATTACCCATCTATCACCCTTTCTACACACCTGGCGTCACATCACCTTGGACGAGTGGGTGCTTGCCGATACTCCACAGTGCCGAAGAGGGACGGAGGCGTTCGACCCATATTAGACCTAAGGGAGTTGAACCGCTTCGTAGTATACCACCGCTTCCGCATGGTCTCACTGCAATAGATTATGCCACTCCTGCGCAGGCACATCTGGATGGCCACTCTCGACCTCCAAGACGTGTATTTCCACATCACTATACACCCCTTCCACCGCCAATACCTACGCTTTATGATTGGTCATCAGCACTTCCAATATATGGCCCTTCCATTCGGCCTCTCCAGCGCTCCGAGAGTCTTTACAAAGACCATGATTGTGGTTGCGGCTTTCCTCTGTCTTCAAGGTATTTCGATCTACCCCTATATAGACGATTGGCTTCTAGTGGCACCTTCCAAAACTACCTTGGTCTCAAACATCGTAGAGACTCTGTCGTTATTGGAAAACCTGGGACTTCAGGTCAACAGGCAAAAGTCTCACTTGTGTCCAGTCCAGTGCATTCAATACATCGGCGCGATACTGGATTCACAGGCATGCATGGCTTACTTGCCCGGCGACAGGGGCTGCAGATATCATCTCCCTCGCCACATTCATCTGCTCCCAACCTTCCGTCACTGCTTTCCAGATTCAGAGACTGCTCGGTTTCATGGCAGCAACTACGTCAGTTCTCGTCTTTGCCAGGCTCAAAATGCGCCCCTTACAACTTTGGTTTCTCCACAATTACAACATGTCGGAAAACGCAAACACTGTCATCCTCTCCCCTCTCCCCAGTGTCCAGGATATTCTACAGGGAGCACCCTTTCACCCTCCATCACCGGAAGTCACTATGACTACTGATGCATTCCTGACGGGATGGGGTGCACACTCCATGGGCCTGTCTATCGGGGACAAATGGGGCGCGCAGACGAGGAGAAAACTCATAAACTTCCTCGAACTCTTGGCTATAAAGCACGCTGTCACCTCCTTCCTCCTCAAGGGAAAATGTGTCACAGTCCTGACGGACAATACCACAGCACTGTCATACGTCAACAGACAAGGAGGCATGGTTTCCCAACGACTCTGCAACCTTGCCATCCAACTGTGGGAGTTTTGTATCAGCAACGGCATATTCCTTGTGGCCACTCACATCCCGGGCCACATGAACGTGCAGGCAGACCATCTAATTCGAGCCGGACTCAGCCTGCATGAGTGGGGGATGAACCCAAAATACCTCCTCCCACTCTTCCACAAGTGGGGGACTCCCCTAGTTGATGTGTTCTCAGACAGGAGCAACAAAAAATGTCACCTATTCTGCAGTCGTGGACGCAAAGACCCTCACTCTCTGGGAGACGGCCTCCTTTACCCCTGGTCATCAGGGCTCCATTACCTGTTCCCCCCTTGCCTCTACTTCTGAGAGTGGTCCGCAAAATACTCAAGAACAATGCGGACTGTATCCTAATAACACCATGGTGGCCAAGACAACCTTGGTTTTCAACAGTCCTCGGGTTGTCACAGGGGATGTACCATCAGTTCCCCCCGACTCCGGACCTTCTCATCCTCTTGGACTCCCCCTGTCTCCCATCACAACATTCCACAGTTGAAACTGACGGCATGGTGCATAACACAAGCTTCTCCTCCCGTGTAGTTAACGTTCTCCTGAACTCCAGAAAGCCAACCACACAGAATTCCTATGATTATAAATGGAGAAGATTCTCTTCTTTTTTGGGTATTGACGCCACTTGGGCCACCTCTGTTGGCCTTGATGCAGTCTTTTGTTTCCTCCTCTCCTTGGCTGACTTGGGACTTTCCCATTCGTCGTTAAAAGTTTATTTGGCTGCTTTATCGGCCTACCATGTTTCAGTTGAAGGATGTACTTTGTTTTCACATCCCGTTTTGAAACGGTTTTTAAAAGGTTTACTACATCTGTACCCTCCTGTCAAATCTCCAGTCACTCCCTGGGACCTTCCTCTAGTCCTTCGACAACTCACGAGGAAACCCTTTGAACCACTCGCAATGTGTGAACTCAACCTCCTAGCATGGAAAACGGCCTTTTTAGTTGCCATCACCTCTGCTAGGCGAGTGGGAGAGATACTGGCTTTCCGGCACAACACACCCTACCTGTTGTTTCTGCCAGACGGAGTCCGCCTCGTCTCGGATATCTCCTTCCTGCTGCTCATCCCGGATATCTCCTTCCTGCTGAAGGTGGTTTCAGAGTTTCACCTGCAGGCGGAAGTCTTCCTACCTGACTTCTCTCCAAACCCTACATCAGTGGAAGATAGACTACTACACACTCTGGATGTCAAGCGGGCTCTCTTGTTCTATCTGCAGAGAACATGTCCGACTAGACGGGACCAACAGTTATTTGTCTCGTACGCTTCGGCACGCCTAGGCAGTCGCATCATGGCGCAATGCTTATCCAAGTGGATTGTAGGTTTGATCCAACTCTGTTACCTACTAGCCAAGCAGCCATTACCTGGCCCTATCAGGGCTCATTCCACCAGGGCTGTTGCAACCTTCACTGCCTTCCTCCAAGGAGTGCCACTGCCGGACATTTGTAAAGCCGCTACGTGGGACACGCCTAACAACTTCACCAAGCACTGCGCCCTAGACATCCGTACGAACACCGGTACCAACATGGGACATCAAATTCTATCATCGGCTACACAGTGGAAGGCCTGCCAGCACCCACCTCCAGGTAGGCTACTGCTCGCTAATCTCCCATGGGTGTGAAGCACAGAGACCACATTGAAGATAAACAGGTTGCTTACCAGTAACTGGTGATCTTCGAGTGGTCATCTGTGCATTCACACCACCCACCCTCCTTCCCCGCTGCTGTCAGCTTCTACACTTTTTTGCATAGGGGTTGATTTGCGGCGGTGCTTTGAAGGAACTGGTGGGATGTCTGCGACAACCCCTCTGGGCATGCACGGTGGGGTTCCTGCGCATGCCTGGAGGGACTGGGAATGAAAATCCATTGAAAAGATCTTGCTGCAGCACCAATCGATCCAGCGCGTGCGCACTAGATCCCATGGGTGTGAATGCACAGATGGCCACTCGAAGATCACCAGTTACTGGTAAGCAACCTGTTTATACAAATAATGTTTCATCTTGTGAGACTATGCAAAGATATCTGCAACCTTGCTGAAATAACCAGTGGTAAAGTGGTGAGGAAAAGAATATTTGTGATGTTTAAAATATTGATTACACTTAATAGCACAGATTTGTAGTCGGTCATTTAAAATAATGTTCATTGGTTGGTGAATTTATAGCTTCTGTGTTAGAATAGCTATTCCCAATCAAGTTCAGAATTACAAGTACGTATGCTCCATTTAATAACAACCAAAGAGATGGTAGGACACCAAAATCAGGGGGAAAAAATACTGAGTACAAAGCCAGTACAGTGCAATTAATAAAAAATCCATGATGTATTCTGCCGAATTAGTTCAGGGGAATGTGTCTAATAGCTAACTGGAAATGCACTGGATCTAGTCCATATTAGATGCAAAAGAGTATGGTAGACGTCTGACTTCTGTACACGTGTGCGTCTAACTTCTGAACAATTTCCTCATAAGATCTGAAGAACATGTGAATTATCTGATGACTTAAATTTCTTGTTAAATGGAGGCCATTTAGTCTAGCATTTCCTTTGTTTAACAGAGTCACAAGCTAAACTAAGTATGTATCATGATTTCCTTTGTTTTTGGTCTAGTTGACATAAAATGCAATGTCAGCAGTAGTCTTTTATGGCTTTGGAATACATTTTAAGTTAGAATTGTGTGTTGCATATTTTTTCAATTTTTAGGATGACTACCCTCGAGTAGTCAGCTTTGGACCCAAGAAAGCACCAGTTCTAGAGAGAGCTGTGGAAGGAAGCTACAGTAGATATGAATATAGTCATGCTCATGTTGGCTACCGAGAGTATGAAGAAGGTCGTGGTTTTGCCCATGAAAGAAGAAGTGGCCCACCACATAGAAGTGTAAGTAGTTTAATTTTGTTTTCTTCATGGATGCACTGTTGAAAAATGCAACACTAAGAAAAGAATTCAGATATTTGGATTCTTAAAATATAGCAGCCCTAAAATTCTTTTCTAGATTTACTGTAGGAAGTCAGCTGTGATGTTTTAACACCAGCTTTTGAGCCCTAACCTGGATAGCCCAGGCTAGCCCCATCTCATCAGGTCTCAGAAGCTAAGCAGGGTTTGTCTTGGCTAGTATTTGGAAGGGTGACCTCCAAGTAATACCAGGGTCATGATGCAGAGGCAGGCAATGGCAAACCACCTCTGAAACCTCTCTTGCCTTAAAAACAAGTCTAGCTCGTCACCTAGTCGTGCATAACACTAAAAGAGCTAGAACGTCTAGCTGCTAGACAGTATCTCCTACCTATACTACACACAATGCCATATGATAATAATAATAACAGCAACCAGCTCTTGAAACTTAACACGTGGTTGCGTGAACTATAATGGTGCCTCCATAGTCTTTAGTCCTGTGAACACTTTTATAGTAATTTGTGTGATGAATTTGCATACTAAGAGAGCAATCCTAAAAGGGTCTACTCAGAATCTTACCTGGTTCTTTTCGGTGGGAAAGTGTTCTTGGGATTGTACTGCTAATATGCTGTTTTGGGCAGCTGCCTGTTGATGCAGTAGTATTTTTTAACTACCATGCAGACTCATCCATCAGTTGATATACTATCTTGTTTGTGGTACAGATTCAATGAATAGGTTGTAATCTGGATTTAGTATTTGATCAGTATATTTTCCCTTCCTTATTTAAAAAGTGCATACTTTGGGGAATGATATGAATATGTGTGCAAGACACTATCTTGCTGTACACTATTGGTATGAGTAATGCTACAAAAATTAGCAGTATGAGCAATGAAATGATGAAGTCTTAGTACTAAATTCTTACAATGTAGAAAAGCAACTAAGGCCCCGGTCACACGGGCCGGATATTGGGGGGGGGGGGGAGGCGTGGCTAATTGCCCCAGAGGAAACTAACACACGGCCGCCCGAGCACACGTCCTGGTCGAGGTCTTGTGGTTTGGGGGAAATGCCGATCAGACGGGTATCCTGCAGCGTGGCACAGAAGCCACGCCACGCGATCGCACTAGCAATCGCTCTTTGTGCGCATGTGCTGTTGGGCGCTGTTGCGCATCCTGTGGAGACGAACAGCAGTGGGCGCCGGATGCCACGTAAGTCCACCGGGAACGTGATCAGACGCCTGCCCTTGGCCTGCAGTTTCAGGAAACTAGTACCTCGTAGGTACTAGTTTTTAACTCCGCACCTTTGGCGGGGAGCCACGGGTTCGCCACGGGAGCACTGCACTTCCCAGATGTTGGGGTGAGATCGCGCTCGGAAAATCCGCGGGACTCCCGTGCCTCTCCCGTGGCAACTTTGCCGTGTGACTGGAGCCTAAATTGTTTTGTTTTCATTCAAATCTGATTCTGTACCATATTGACTTACAACCTTCAGGTATCTTTTCATATTTCATAGGATGATCCAGAGTACAGATGGCCGAGAGATGACCATCCTGCTAGCCGTCAACCTGATTACAGGTATTATTTTTTAAAATCCAAATTGCTTCCTTATTTGTGCTGATAAACAAATAGTGCATAGCTTTAAGTTTTGTTTTAGTTGATGACACATGTTCTTCTGGATTGGCTCCCTGAAGCATTCCAGCCACAGTTGAAAGATAGGATGACCTAGAAGTCCTTATGTCTTGGATTCCTTACTTTCTTTTGTCCCATAAAAATCAGATAATGAGTTTGATCTGACAATCACATCTCCCCTGCTTTTCTCTCCCATCTGAAGTTATTTGCCAATAAGGTTGGTGGGATCTGCAGTTCTCTCTTTTTGAGTACTGATTTGTGTGAGCTGCCAAATACCAGGTTGAGTAAACCATGGAGTCATAAGGTTTTTATTTGTAAAGATTTTCCTGCAAATTCTCTCCAGAATCTAGTGTTGAAAGATTTTTGCTTGACTGGCTTCTTTTGTGTGTGCTTTGTTTTGCTATGCAGTATTTGTTTCCTTAGAGTTTATAATTACTGATGAAGCAAGAGTTATTAGGTTTACATGTGTGTCCCCCTTTTTACAGTAGAATAAACATGCGATGATCTGCCCAATTAAATTGTCACCTTTAGTACAGATTTGTTCTTGAAAGACTTAACAGAAACAGTGTTGCTGCTTTGTGCAAATCATAGTAGTGAGTTGTTAGTCATAGCCATGTTGTCATAAGGCTAAGAGCAATTCCATCGCAAAACTGCTTGGGACAGTGCTAGTTCTGCCTAAACCAGTGCAGGAAGGTGATCTCAGCAATCACAGAGTATACGTAGAGTACTGTTTCCTAGAGGTGTTATTGTACTTTTGATCTGTACTTTAGATATCTTTCTGAGGATGGTGTTTCTGTGTTTCAACAGGTACATTTTGCGGACTCAGTAAAGGGTCTTTGTGATCACTTGACTTTAGACATAGAATGGAACACTTGAATGTTAATGGTTCATGAACACTTCAAATCTTTGTCTTTCTGCTTTAAAACTTTATGAGTAAGAAACTGAGGAAACTGTGGGCAATTTGTTTTTGAAGAGCAACAGTGGCCTCCAGTGGCCACAAAGGCTTGATTTTAGGGATTTAAAGAATGAGCTTTTCTTGATACAACACCAGGTTGTGTGTGTGTGTTTTGTACTTGCAAAAACAACAGTATTCTTGCATTTATGAGGATAAGATCTGATTTTTTTTACAAGTAGACTGGCAAAATCCAGATTTTCAAATGGCAGTCTGTGAGAGTCTTGTTCATGCAGGGAGAGTAATTCCTACATTAGTGTAAGTTTTTTTAACAAGTTAAAATAATGCATACATAGACTATTAGCAATTAGAAAAGATCAATGTAAATTAGAACATTTTGGTTACTTCTGTGAAATTAGCATCAAAATCCCACAGAATCTTGGCCACATATCTGTTAATTGTTTTTGTAAATAAAGTGTGATGTTGTTGCTAGTAATGCAGATGTGCCATTTAATATTTTATTATAATTTTTAAAATATTTTTGTTAGCTGCTTTGAAAATGTGAAATATAAAACCTGTAAGTAGATAAATTCATGGACCAACGTGGATTTACTGTTGTACTGGATTCCCCTTAGCAAGTATTGGACTTGGTCTTCTTTTCTGTGCTGGATCAGCTGTTAGGTTTGAACTAGTACGTGTAGGACACCTAAAGCACATCCAATACATGTATTAAACTCTTATTTCATTCCAGAAAACCACCCTTGTGAATAGGTACACTGGAAGTTGTCCATTACAGAGCCTTAGTAGGTCAGCAAATATTTATTAAGATGAGATATGTTAAGTGGAGGGTTCCCATGCAGGGAAAGCATTTTATGTATCCATGCATAGGGGTGGTTTTAAGAAAAGCAGTAGCAGCCGAGTGACTGAAGGTAGATTGCTTTTCTGTGGTATGTTAGTACTTGTAGAAATAATGGCAGGGAGTCTTTTCTGCTTGATTATGTTGGAAAGCCTTCACAGGGACCTTGTGGGAAACTTACTAGACAGATATATACTATTTGAGGTCCTGTGTTAAAGCCAATATCACTGTTGCTGCATTTAGCAGATTACTCAAAATAATCTATGCATTGTTAGAACAATATATAGTAGAACAGATACTTTTCTCATGGAATCTCTTCAGTAAGACTTCTGATTATGTATCAGAAAAACAGATGTAAAGTACCTCAAGAATCCTAGTCTATGGTAGTTTTTTACAACGCCTCTCCAAAATTCAAGTGAATTTACTGTCCCCTGGAGCTGAGATCATAATTCCTTTCTCTAGAGACAGTTATTTGTGTTTCCTAGCTCTTTAGCTATGGAATGAATCACCTTCATGAAATATGAAGTATGAAATAAATTTAAAGAGAGCTGATTGATTTAACAGCATTTAACAATTTAACAGCAACAATTGTATGAGAGTAAATTGCAGTCAGGATGTTGACTAATGTGGATTGTAGGGACTATATTATTCTGTTCTTGGTCTATCTAGATGGGCTCCCAGTCTTGTTTCTGGGCATCATTAAAGGTACTAGTGTTGACCTTTAAGCTGCTGTGTAGCTTGGAAGCAACATACCTGAAGAACTGCCTACTTCCTTAAGAACTACTTGACTTCTATGGTTATCTTCTGGTGCCCATCTTCTGAGATTAAGTGAGTGGCAAACCAGGAGATGGTCTTCTTGGTCTTGCCACCAAAACTCTGGAAGGCTCTCCCTAGAGAGACTTGCCTGTCCTCTTCTGTTGCTGTTTTCTGCTAGTGGGTGAAGACTTTTTTAAAATTTCAACTGGCATTCCCTCAGTGAGCCATCTTTCCTGCCCTATGTAATTTTTTGTATGTGTATTTTTAATTGGTTTTAATAGTTTTAATGATGTTTGGTTTTTGTTTGGTTTAAATGGCTTTTAAGATTTATTTTTATTATGTATGTTTTTAATCTGTTAGCTTCCTTGGTGGTCCTGATGAGGGCAGACTGGCAGGTATAAATTTTGTAAAATAAATAAATTCTGTTTTATATAACCAGCAGTAGATGAGAGGTCCTGGAATCCTGTTCACTGTGGATCACTAGACCTCTTGTCCTGGGAATATTTGTTGATGATCTGCAATATTATTGCATTGTTAAGTGTAAGGTCAAAGAGGAAGCCTTGCCAAATGTCAGAGTCCCAGTCCTGTCTGGGGCCAAAACTCTTTGTTTAAGGGCCGCAGAACACAAAATTACCGGCCGGTATCCAATTTGCCCCATTTGGGCAAATTGATCAAGAGGGCGGTGGCAATTCAGCTGCAGTGTTTCTTAAATGATGCCTCCTTATTAGATCCCTTCCAGTCCGGTTTCCGACCAGGCCACGGGACAGAGACGGTCCTGGTCACCCTCACAGACGACCTTCGGAGGCATCTGGATCGAGGCGGCACAGCAGCATTGTTGTTGTTAGACCTGTTGGCGGCGTTCAGCACGGTTGACCATCAACTACTGACCCACCACCTCGCCGACGCGGGATTCAGGGGTTTGCCTTGCAGTGGCTCTCCTCATTTCTGCAGGGTCGGGGACAAAGGGTGGCACTGGGGAAACAGCTGTCCTGAAGGCATCCACTAGATTGTGGAGGTCCACAAGGGGCGGTACTTTCCCCAATGCTATTTAACATCTACATGCACCCCCTTGCCCACATTGGCCGGAGGCATGGGATGGGTTGTCACCGGTATGCGGATGACACCCAGCTCTATCTGTTGTTGGGCGACCAGTCAGACTCTAGTCTGGGAGATCTGGACCTGGCGTTGAAAGCTGTGGCTGGTTGGCTTAGACTGAATGATTGAAATTGAATCCGACAAAGACGGAGGTCTTGTGCCTGAGTCAGAGTGGACCAAGGTTAGGGATCCCACTCCCAACCTTTGATGGGGCGCTGTTGGGAGTGCTCCTGGATGCCTCCTTAACGATGGAGGCCCAGGTAGCAGCCACTGCAAAGTCTGCCTTTTACCATCTACAACTGATTAGGCAGTTGGTTCCCTTCTTTGAACGCAGTGACCTGGCAACAGTGATCCACGCAATGGTCACCTCGAGATTGGATTACTGCAATGCTCTCTACATGGGGCTGCCCTTGTCCCAGATTCGGAAGCTGCAGCTGGTGTAAAATGCAGCACTGAGGCTGTTGCTGTGCCTTCCTGTGTGGGAACCCATCCAGCCCGCCCTAAAAGTGCTGCACTGGCTGCCAATAGCATACCAGATTTGGTTCAAGGTGCTGTTTTTGACCTTTAAAGCCCTATATGGTCAGGGACCTGCTTACCTGAGGGACCGCCTTTTCCTGCATGTTCCCCAGAGGGCACTAAGATCTGGATCCCAACACCGTCAGGCTAGCAGTGACAAGGGCCAGGGCCGTTTACGTGGCGGCCCCGCACTGGTGGAATGAGCTCCTGGAGGACATCAGGGCCCTGTGGGACCTTCTGCAGTTCTGCAGGGCCTGTAAAACGGAGCTCTTCCACCAGGCTTTTGATTAGGGGGGGGCGCCGGTAACATCGTGGCCCTGGCCCTAACATCAGCACCAAAGTAACATCAGCACCAAAGTAATATCTGATAGTCTGGCAAGGAACCTGGAATATGGCGATTGTTATATCTGGATGCCGAAAGAATGCCGCCATTGTTTATTTGCACTGCTAACACTTTGCATTTTGTTGTGGTTTTGTTTTATCTATTTTAATATTTGTATAATGTATTTTATATATATGATTGTGAGCCGCCCTGAGCCTGCCTTCGCGGGGAGGGCGGGATATAAGTCAAATTAATAAAATAAAAATAAATGAAATAAAATTGCAAAACCCTGGGTTGTGACTCCTCACACATTAGTCTGGTAGTTTTTCACCAACCCTTTAGACTAGTGGTGGCGAACCTATGGCACGCGTGTCAGAGGCAGCACTCAGAGCCCTCTCAGTGGGCACGCATGCCATCGCCCCAGCCAGGCCCAGACCGTCATTAAAGTGTGGAACTCTCTGCCAAATAATTTTAAGTAAATGAAAGCATTTGGGATTGCTTTCCTTACT